TTTGGGCACTCGACGCCCGGAGCCCTCAAGGCCTCCGTGGCCTTCGGGGGGGGGGACTCTGAGCCGTGGAGTCCTCCCTGCTGTGCCCTCAGGGCGCCGGTGCTGCCGCTTGTGTTTGAGGCGGTTAAAATTGCCCTCCCACGCTGTAAGAGGAAAGGAGGCATCTGTATTAAAATGTTTCCCGACTTTCTTAGATGTTTGTTCACAGTGTTTTCCAACACGGTTTTCAGAATGGGTGAGAAGTGCCTCCAAATAGTAATGGAAAAAGGCTCCTGTGTGGAGAGGGTTTCAGTCAGCGTTTGCTCACAGCCCGAGGGCAGCTCTGGTTGCCAAAATACCCACCTGACCACCCAGTAGGAGAACTGCACTATGAAAATGCAAAGGTGAAATTCAGTGTCTATTTCAAGCATCGTCATCAGCTTTAAAAGAGCATATTCCTAATCAACATCAGGCAGTTGTGGCCTGTCTCCACCAGAGCAGGGAAAACTACTTGTGGGTGTCAGAACGGGCGAATTTTTTGAGATGTATACTTTACTTTTGCTGGTTATATTGGAAAATACATTAGGCACTCACAAGATGAAGAAAATGAACCACAGCGTTCTTGGTGAAAATGAAGCATCACTCAGATCTAGGAAAGTTTGTTATAAGCATTTATTTTACGTCAACTTGTATAGGGAATGTTATCTCTTTTTCAACAGATAAAGGCAAGGAAGTGTTTGTTTTCCTGTTTGTTTCTGGTAGAGAAAAAAAAAGGTAAAATTCAAGATTCACCAGATGATACGCAAATTTTAAAAAGTTACCTGTTTGTAGGGAATGCCTTGAGTGGAAACAAGCTATGAAGACAACACACAAAGCACCCGAGTAACTGCGGGGACGGGGACGCTTCTCTCAAAGGGGAAATCTCACACTGAAAATCTTTGGCAGTACTAGAATTTCTTCTGATAAACTGAAATTGTTACTGAAAATAGATTTGGGCCGGATTCTGCAGCCTCCTCCATGATCTGTAAGAGACTATATCAACTCAAAAGTCTCGAGATTTTTTTATAATATCTGAACTATTTTGATGAGATCTGTGAACCTGGACTTCACATAAAGCAATTTCTGACTCAGTAGAAAATGAAAGACTTTCCTTTTTTATTAACAATACACTCTTCACTTGATAGCTAGATTTTCAATAGTTGTGGGTTTGGGGTTTGGATTTTTTTTTTTTTTTTCTGTTACATGAGCTCTCTTTCTCTGTTGTTAAATATCTGGGGAGATTCACCTCATTATTTCTCTCCTATGTGACCTTGACAAGAAAACAAAATCTAATCACCTCGTAGGAAATGACAAAACAGGTTTACTCGATAAGTTTTGCAGTACAGCTGTGGATATGGCACCAGACACTGGAAGGTCAAAGGGCTTGTACTCCATCAAGATTGATCTCACATCCTCTCACTAGTATCAGATTTGCTGGTTCTGTGAAAACACAGGTATTTGCACAGCTGAAATACTAAGAAATCGTCTCAGCTCTAGGAGAGGTGGCAGGAAAAAACTGATATTTACAGTTCCAAGGAGATTTCGACTTCCCCTTTCCCTGGCAGTACAGTTTTGTTTTCTGCAAGGTTTCAACTGTTGTAACCAGAACTTTGTGCGCTAGATCGTTTGATCCAAACATCAGGCATGTCTGGTTGGCTGTTTGGTAGCACAACCGGACCTTCGCTCCCTAATCCAAATCGATTTTTCCATGAAGAGCTGTTCTGCTGCGATGCTGCTGGAGAGATATCAAAGACCGTCTCCCTCAGGTCCAGCCGCAGGGTATCTCTCTTCCCGTTCAAGTAACCTCTCTCTGTTTGACTGTACGAATCAGACAGCTCTAAGACATCAGGACAAGAACTGGCTGATTCAGCAAGCTTTAGGCCTTGCTCAAAATCACTAATTGACGTCTCACTGGAGATGTTGAGCATGTCAAAAGAGCTGCCAAGAGAACAAAGGCATCTGTGAATTTTGTAGATGTCAGCAGCAGGGAGATGGCTGTTGTCTGAGGTATAATCGGACTGCTGCTGGGCAGTGTCACTAGAGCACTGTGATTTATTGAGCTGCCCTTCTTCTGTCATGCCAGCCGGCTGGATAGGGTCCAGCCCAGACCCACCCCAAGCTTTCCAACCATACTTTCGACATCGACAATCTCGGCAGAGTCTCTCCCTGTGAATTTCTGCTCCTGAGCTGCTGTGCTTGTACGGAGAGGAAGTTTGCAAGGCAGGACACTGGCACAGGCCAACCTGCTGGTCTCCAAGGGTCTCCTGCAGATTCTGTCTCTCTCTTTCAAGGGAAGGGTGCATTCCTATTCTGGGGCACCTGTTGTCTTCAACTTGTGTGTCTTCAGAGAGCACTGACGGCCGGTTGGACAGCTTGCTTGTGGAAGTGCTGTTGTCAAAACTGTCGCTGAGTTTTCTGGACAAGGGCTGGAGCTCGTATTGCTCGTTTGCAGTGTTGGACTCCTGGACCTTCCGCAGTCGGTTTTGCTTCTCGCTCCCCCCACAGGCAAAGCTTCCGTTCAGCCCGGAGTCATCAGAATAGTCTTTCATGGTGTGGGCACAAGGCCAAAGGATCTGCCCACAGTTCTTCTCTGGGCCAAAGAAGCAGCACAGTGACTGGAAGAAGAAGCTGGCAAACCCACAGCTGATACACTTGATCATCATGATGAATATCCCCAACTTCCTATACGCCAGGACCGTCGCAGGCAACATAATGACCCCTGCAGAGAAGAGAGCAGAAGCTGCCATGGCCGTGGCACAGCTCATCTGCTTCAGCGAAAAGGCCACTCGGCTCAGGCGGTCGGAGTGGGGGCACAGATGATAGGAGATGCAGTAGTTGACGGTAAAGTCAACGGAGAGACCTACTGCAGCTGAAATGAAGAGAGACTCCACTGCGTTGAGCTGCCACTCCAAGAGGACCAAAAGGCCAACAGTTACCAGGACAGTGCCTGCGATGGCAGTAACAGAGAAAACGCTAAGGAGAACATTCCAGGTAGTGAGCAGCAGCACCACGAAGGAAATGGCTATGGAGAGCCCCATGACCACCATCGTTTCTGTGCTGAGACTGTGCTGGAGGTTGTATAGCTCTAGTTTACTGGTAAACCATCCATTCTGAAGCCCCACGGGGGCAGTTTTCATTTCCTCTGTTACCCAGAGGTTGATTTCCTCGTAGAATTGTTTGGCTTTGCTGTAGTTGAAGCTATAGTGGTAAATAGTTTGAAACTGCAGCACTAAGGCAGCGAGATTTCCCTCCCCGTCAAACCTGAGGCCCAGATCGTACGTTTCTGCCTCTTCCCTGCCTTGTTCCAGGAGCATCATTTTGATGCAGTGTAGGAAGACTTCGCTTCTGTAAGGGAAGGAGAACTGGTTACAGCAAAGGTTGAAGCTGTGGTCTCGCTGGGAGCACTGGCGACTGTCCATCCACCTGAGGAACTCCTCCATGAAGCACACAGTAGATTTCTGCTCTGCGTCAGGGTAATAGAAAGTTTTGTTCTTCACTTTTTGGCAGAATTCGAGGAGCCACTTCTGGGCATCAGGGTTTTGGATTGTGAAGGTGACATCTGTCACTAGGGTGCCATTGCTTTTTGGATTGAAATGGTCCCCATTATCCACGGGCAGAATGCCCCAGACTATCGTGACAGGCATACGCTGCCCTTCTCCATGCTCCAGCCTCTCAAACATGAACTGGTGGCAGTACTCAGAATCGTACCTCTCAAAGGGGTGGCTCAGTCTAAACACCTGGACAGACGACGTCTCGAGAGTCGGGAGTTTGAGTTTTGGGTTGGAACAGGAAATGTAGGCACCTCCTACCGCTAAGGCAGCAAACCAGCAGATCCAGATGTACCGAAACTTGATGACCCCACAAGGCAGAAGCTTTTCAAACAGCAGCTTGGAGGTTTCAGACAGCGTGTTCTGGAGACCCCTGAGAATGTAATGGAGGGAGAGAGCGACTCTCTTATGGCCAATGTTGTTCCAGTAGTCTTCTGGCTTGTAAATGCAGGTCGTTGCTATGTAGCGCTCATACAGCACGGCCGAAGAAGGAAGCCAAGTCATCATGAATACCAGATTCACCAGCATGGAGGTGCCCATGTAAATAGCAAAGCAGCGGATGGCTATTATATTGCTAATGTAGCTGGCATAGAAGGCAGCACCCGTTGTGAAGCAAGATGCCAGCATGAGATACGCAAAATGGTGCATGGTTTGACTCACCCACTGAGAAAGCCCAGCGGAAGGGTTCTGGTTCTTGCTGAGGTGCCAGAGGTCGAAGAAGACGAAGGTGTGGTTGGCACAAATGCTGCTGAGAATGATGACTGCTGTCAGGTTTACAAAAGGGAAATAGGTGAATCTGAAGGCCACCTTGTACAAGAAGTAGGAGATCATTAAAGAACTGACAACAGCGAGCAGGACCATCAAGGTAATAAAGACTGAGCGTAAATAAAAAGAAATGCTTAGAAAAATAGCTAATATTGCCAGGACTGGATACTTAGTATCCAGTAAAAGATAGTGCTGGAATAGTTTCTGTTTAAGGCCCAGGTCCATTCCAGTGATAGATGTATAGTTATCAAACAGATCCCAGGATTCAAGATTGTCTAAGTAGATCCCCATCATAGAAGCACCTTTCCTCGTAGGCAAAAACAGCAGGCTGTATTTGAGAGATGGCACTTGGTACTCCATCGTCTGGGGACTAAGAAAGTCTCTGTCGACCAAGAAGTGAAGAAGCTGGTAAATGGCATTGAAGCGGGTACATTTTTCTGGGACTTTGGCACACTGAGAGTGTTTCTGTCTCACAGTCTCAGGACCTATGCAAGATGGAGTGAGGATACCTTTGTGGTAGTCTGGAGCACAGGCACGAAGGAGGGCCAGAGTATGGGAGATGTCTCCTTGGGTTATCTCCAAACACGAAGACCTGTTGTACAGGACAGCAATGTAGTTCCCCAGAGACCAGCTCGGGCAGCATTCGTTGGCTTCAGTACGTTGACAGAGGTCTCTAAAATGAACATGTGAGCGTATCTGAAAAACAGACGAGGGAGCATCGTGTCAGACCCTCTCTGCACACTTCATCTTGCAGCCCCGTAGAGTTCCTTGCTCCCTGCAGTAATCCTACCCTCCAGGTGTACCAGCCATGGCTCGCCATCCTCCCAATGACAAATTGCAAACACTAAAGCTATTGAAACATGCTAGTCTTTTGCAAAAATTAAACCCTGCCCATTATTTATATTTTATAACCTCTGATTTGAAAATTTCGATCCTATGGCAAACACAGCTAATCCAATTAAACTTCCCACTTGCAATTGTGACTTGCTGTCACAGTCTCCGAGATGATAGCTCCATTTCGGTAATTAGGTTCTGCTGCCCAAAATTCTCGGCAGCTTCTGATGGACACCTTTGGCTTCTGGACCAAGCTCTTGTTCAGTGTCCGTTTATTCTTGTTTAATGGCAGCTGCTACTTGGCAGCTGGACTTTAGTGACAGGTGGAATCATCCGTGTGTTGCTAAGTAGGTAAAAGGCTTTGGGGTCCTCTAGGCTGAAACCTGTTCTGTAGCTTACGTTATTTTTGTCTGGCTTCCTTTCAGCTAGAGATTAAAGACTACGGCAGTCAGAAAAGAGACAGCATGTATATATGTTCTTCCTGACATTACTAACCTTGTCTTGTTCAATTTGACACATGGACTGAATAGCTTGCAAGTTCCATAAGCTCCCAGCAGTTGTCGACATAAATACCAGCTGGGAATAGCTCTTTTCTGAAATAAAGAAGAAGAAAAAAAAATTGAAAAAAGGATTAGGTAATGAGGGCTGTTCGGAGTAGACTCTCTGTACATAGAAAAAAAAAAATATATATATATATCTCGCTGTGTATACGACCGCTATGGAGGACTCCCTGAAGGGAAGCAGGTCACAAAGACAGTAGCTTGTAGTGAGTGGTAGCCTCTGCCTTGTGTGATCTGACCTCTCCTCCTTGCCCATCTGTCAGCAGCAGGAGAGCAGTGTTGGGGCATTTCCAAAATACGCTCTCCGTGCTGTCAGCATGCTTTCAGTGAGTGTTGGCATCTGGTTCTGCACCCCTGTTACAAAGGGAGGGGCTCGAGTTCAGCCAGAAACTCCCAGGGACCTGAGGGTTTGGTGTTTGACTGGTTTCAGAGGTGGAGTAGAGGCAGGGAGGGGAGTAAAAATATCTGCATGCCTTTCCTCTTTCGTCTACTTACTGGTGTCCATTTTGGGAGAAATTTTGGGTGTCTTGGAGTTTTCCTCTTTTTTCTCTCCAGTTTTTACTGCCACTTACATTTTTCAAGAAGAAAAGAAGGAACAGAGAGGGAGAGGGAACAGAGAGGGAGTGGGGCATGCGCCATTTTTTCAGAGTATTCACTTTTGACATGGGTACATGGTGAAAACATTAGTCCTTTTACTGGTGCTTTTAAGGCATATTTCTAAAAGGGAAGAAGAAGTATGGCAAAAAGTTAAGGAGAAACAACTCTTCTTCAGAATTTCAGAACAAGCTTTTTCTAACCACTCAGTTATGAAGTGCTGGAAGATCACTATCCAAAAGGTGGCTTAGGTTTCACAGGGTGGTGTGGTACACACTGCTTTCTTAGAGCACTTTTAGAACATTTCCCTGTGTCCTAAATCACTTTGATGATTCTGCATGCCATTGAGTTCTGGGTGTGTAATACTTACTACCCCATCAAGTTTTCACTCACCTGGGGGACCACAAAAGAAACCATCCGCTCCGTAGATTTGTTCCACCATTCTCCGTGTCCTCGCTTCTTGTTCTCCCTGAGCAGCCTTCTGTCCTCTGCTAATGCCAATTTCATCATAGCTAGCAAGAGATCAGATTATTTCTGTAACTAGGGATCATCTGGCTGTGAGTTACGTTCACTGGCAAGGCTCTGGTGCCACACATAACACTGCTGCAGCAATAAAGAGTCATCATAGTCTTGAAAGAGCATTGCTTGGATGGGAGCTTTTCCGTATTGGGTTGACTGTGCCCCTTTATAGGGAACTGCATGAGACTGAGAAACTGCGTCCCCTTGCGCAGACGTGCTGAGTTGCCTCTGCAGTCTCTTAAAGGTAAACAGTGAAGGAAACGCATGAAGAGTTTAGAGCCTAATTCCTGGTTTCCTGAGTAGGGAGCCCAAGTCCACTGCAGGCAAACAGACTAAACTCTCCAGTGCCTTGGTCGCTTTTAAGCGTAGCGTGTATGTTGTAATTCACACAGATATCTTGGAACATTGAATCTGTAACTTTACAGCCAACATCTTCCTCAACCCCCCCAAACCAAACTCAAATACCTTTTCTTCTCGGCATAGGGAGAAAGGGAAAAGGTCTTCTTGTAGCCTGTGTGGCTCTCTACATTCCTCCACACAACGAGCTTTCTGCCAATGTCAGTATCTCGTGGCTCGAAACCCTGCAGCCAAGTAAAAGGGTTTTGTGTGTCATCAGCTTGCATTTTAGTTTAGCTTAGCTTTCCTTAATCCTCCTCCTAGACACAGAAACTATATGAGTTTATTACTGCATCTTGAAGAGATACACAAATCGAATTTCCCCTGGAAATACTGCATCCCAGAGCTGACAGAAAAAAATATTTCACCTTTCCTTTCCTTTTTGGGCAAGGATGGCTACAATTCTCTCTTCCTGATCTGATAAGACTCTTCTCCTCCTCTTCAAGTAAAATAGTCACTTACAGAAATGGGAATAATTTTCCTCTTCCTGGGCAAACTCTAGTCTAGTCTTATTTTCTCAGGATTCTTCTATTACGAGAGACAGGGGTGACTTTAGAAAATGTGGGATCCTGCATGGAAAACAGGACCCTGTGCAGCAGTGCTCAGAACGGGGCAGTCTCTCCATTTCAAGAGCCTCATACACAGGCTGTAGGAGCCAAAGCCAGATCCTCCATCCAATTCCCACCCAGCCTAGCTAGTCTTTTTGGGCAACCCCAGCCTTCCAGCAGTGGAAGGGGAGCAAAAAGAGCAATCCTGGTTTGTGCTGGCAGTGTCTTCACACCAGGCTGAGGGCACTAGTGCAAGTCCACAGCATTGCTGAGAGATGGGCTGGTGGCTGCCACTGGCATAGGCTGTGCTCTTTCTGTGGTGTCAAAGAAACAGCAAATACTGTGCATTACTCTGACACATTATGTCCATTCTGAAGGAATCTTGCTTTGGTTGCACGCCTGTGAAGATGTGGGTTAAGGACAGCAGATCACCAATAAACATGGTCATTTTTTCTAGTGGCTTTAACGCCCTCCTCGATTTACTGTCCTGCCTCGCTGCCTCTATCTGCAGAGAAGGAAGGAAGTAAAGGCTCATTTTATACGGCAGAAAGAAAATATCACTGTTTGGCCCGTGGATTTTCCCTCTGTTCGTGTGACGTATCGTCTGTAGGGACTTACCATTAAGGGTTCTGAAAAGTCAGGCAAATTTCCAACAAGCAGGCCAGCTAAAGTGCAAACCACAGCTGTCACTGAACACAGCACCAGGACGGCTATGGGCCACTCTGCGATCATTTGAGAATAACTGGAATCAACAGGAGAAGAAAAAATGCAGCTGTTAAGGCACTTCTGCTATTAGCACAAAACCTGCTGTTGAACCAATGTAGTGTTAGTAAAAGGAAGTAAAAGAATTAGAGCTTTCTGGTTTGAGCATTTATTTGTTGAAAAGCTTAGAGGCTCTAGTACAGATATTAATGAACATATACCTCCAACTGGATGTTTGCAGCAATTCTAATTAACTCGGGTAATTACATTTTGCCTCTCTACATTCTCCTGCTTTTTCAATCAGAAATAATAAAAACCAGACTCTTGCGTCCTAGGGCAAAATTAAGCTTTAGATATTTAACTTAAAAGATTGCATTTAAAAAGAGCTTCTTCCTCTCCCCCTCCCCCCCCCCCACAGTTCCTTACT